TAGGCAAGTTTTCCTTCGGTCTTGGCAGTGTTGCAAGGGATTCAAGCACAAGCGAGCGGGGGGGGCGGGTGCTAGGTACTTAGCTGGAAGCTGCTAGTTAGAGAGAGAGAGAGAGAGAGAGAGAGAGAGAGAGAGAGAGAGAGAGAGAGAGAGAGAGAGAGAGAGAGAGAGAGAGAGAGAGAGAGAGAGAGAGAGAGAGAGAGAGAGAGAGAGAGAGAGGGGGGGGGGGCTGGGAAGGGAGGAGAAAAATAGAGAATCAGCAAGTATATGTATATACATGTATACGAAAAAAAAAAAAAATATATATATATATATACACACACATACATACATACATACATATATTATATATATATATATATATATATATATATATATATATATATTATATATATGTATATATATATATATATATATATATATATATATATATATATATATATATATATATATATATATATATATATATATATATATATATATATATATATATATATATATATATATATATTATATATATATATATAATACACATATATATACACATACATAACACACACAACACATCCACACACATACACACACACACACACACACCACACACACACACACATATATATATATATATATATATATATATATATATATATATTATATATATATATACATGGTTCTATATATACATTTATATGTGTGTGTGTGTGTGAGTACACATATGTTAATGAATTTCCCACTGAAGGGAAGCTTGATTAGAAACCAACGACATATCAAAAGGAGGAAGAAAAGCAAGGAAAACAATTTGTCTCCGAAATCATCATCCTTTGGTCTTCCTTAAATTCGAAATGCTATTAATAGCTCCGGACTTCATCGCATTTCGAGAGACAAGACGGTTAAAAAAGACTTTATCCGTTATACCAATCAGTGCTTTCTCGTTTAAATAGAAACGCATCGGTTATAAGAAAAATAAGGGTAATCGAATGCAATGGTGATAAATAATGACGCTTAGGGTAATGGTGATGTTGATGATGATAATGATAATAACAATAATAGCAATCGACAATGACGATGAAGAATGATAAGACAAGCAGGAATTATGTGCCAATATTTTTTTTAAAGTTAGATATTGTTGTTCCTTCCCCGGCAGCACCAAATTCTCCTAATAAAGCCAACAGTATTGATTCAGCGGCAAGCGTGATCCGTCATGTTGCATCCTCTTCTCTGTGCACGTTCCAACAATGCAACTCCGCCTTATCAATTTGTGTTGATAAGAGGCCACGTCATGACTCTTTGTTCCTCCGTATTCTCTTTCTCTTTCCCTTCCGATCTGTCTTTTTTCTGCTTCTTTGTATTTTCTTCTGATCTATTCGTTCTATTCGGTTTTCGTTAGTTGACTGCGTGACCTCGTGCGAGGATCATGGAGTCAATATTATCGACCATGCACTCGCCCGCTCATAAGTAGCTGTTTTTGAACGTTGGCGGGTTGGCAGAGCGCTAGAGTGTAGCGGCGTCAGTGGAAGACGATTGGCAACGCTTCCCAAAGCTAGCGGTGCTGCCCTCTGTCGCCAGCCGCTTCAAGGACGCCACTCGCGCCTCCATAGACCACGCTTTGCAATATTTCCATCACTTTCCTCCGTCTTTTGGTCCGGGAAACGCGTTGACAATATGAGTCGATGTGGCCATGACCCTGATAGATGCTTATGATAAACATAAATAATGCGAGAAACGATGGGAGTTCCGTTTATTTAATTTGCGAGGCAATTTAGAAAAGCCGGTGTGAAGCACAGAGCCGAGGTAGCATCACTTGTTACTATAATTAACTCGTGTTGTTGCTGCAACATGGCTGAATCAGCAATGTCTACATGTTGCAAGACTGGGCGCCGGATGTGGCTAGACCGCCTTTGACAAGTTTTGCTGCACACACTGATATCCACTCCCTGTTTAAACACAATTAAAAACAAAAACAGAAAGGGAAAAAATATCAAAATATTGACCAAATGTTTAGCAGAGAACGCGAGATAACGAGCGTTTTAAGGGGATACTTTGTTATTCCGGAAACGTGAAGGAAAATGCAAAGGTAAGGTAAGGGGAGACGAAAAGGAGGGGAGGAAATGGCAGAAGGAGAGCGAGGGGAGATGGAGATGAACCTGGGGTGAAAAACGGAGGGGATGAAACAGGGAAGAGGGGAGAGAAGAAGGGGAAATAAGGGTTGGGAGACCGAGAAAGTTATCATTAAAATTAAGGGGTCGAGGGAGGGAGGGAGGGGGGGGTGGATCAGAAGAGAAAACGGGGAGAAGGAGGATGAGGGGAGAGTACCAGTGCGAAGCAGGGGAGATAATGTTGGGGAGAAAATGGAATAAACAGGTGGAATGAAAGAGAATGATAGAAAGGAGAGAAGAGAAAGAGAGAACCAAGGAAACCAAGGCGAGAACCAAAAGGGAGATGGAAAGGAAAGGAAGGGGAGATAGGAGAGAACCAAGAGGCAGAGGGTGGTAATGAAGTG